GTCACCATGTTGACCAGGATGGTCTCGATCTCTTGACCTTGTGATCCACCCGCCTCGGCCTCCCAAAGTGCTGGGATTACAGGCTTGAGCCACCGCGCCCGGCCTTAAGGACTCTTAAGATTACATTGGACCAGCTGGTTTGTCCTGTTTTAAAATCAACTGATTAACAACCCTAATCTTGTTTGCAACCTTAATTCCCCTTTGCCATTTAAGGGAACATTCACAGGTCCTGGGAGTTAAGATGTCAATATCTCTGGGGGCTGTTATTCTGCCTACCACAGCATGCATTGAACACCTACTCTGTTCTCATCCAGGTTCTGTGCTAGGTTCTGGGATATAGCAAAGACTCAGGCCAGCTCTGTTGACAAAACCCTGTATAATTACAACAGCAAGCGTTGAATGAGCACCTGCTCTTCCTCTGCGCCAAGCACAGTGCTAAGCAATTTCCTTGCTATTGGCTGTATTGGATAAAAGTAACATTGTGAGCCGGGTACGGTTGCTCACGCCTGTAATCCTAGCACTTTGGGAGGCCAAGGTGGGCAGATCATGAGGTCAGGAGTTCAAGACCAGTCTGGGCAATATGGTGAATCCCCATCTCTACTAAAAAATATAAAAAATTAGCTAGGCATGGTGGAGTGCGCCTGTAATCCCAGCTACTCAGGAGGCTGAGGGAGGAGAATTGCTTGAACCCAGGAGGTGGAGGTTGCAGTGAGCCAAGATCGTACCACTGCACTCCAGCCTGGGCGACAGAGAAAGACTCCTTCTCAAAAAAAAAAAGAAAAAAAAAAAAAGTAACTGTGTGATTGACCAGCTTGCCCAGACCACACAGCACAGTTAGAACCATAATGCAAGTCTGTAAGAGAGGTACAGGGTGTCCTGGTACCAGAGAAGGGGCTCCTAACCCAGTTTGGGGGAGGAGTTGAGGGCAGGCAAGCTTCTGAGGAAAAGGGGTTGAGCAGGACCCAGGGCAAGGGCTGGCCACCTTGGGGGTTGCCCGAGAGAAGCAACCAATTTATGGGTAGAACCATTCTGTAACAGGTTATTTGCATACAATCAATGCCAAAGTGCTTTGTTCAGACAGATGGACTGACTCACTAAAAATGGTCACAACAGCCTGGGGGAGAGAACATATGACCTGGCCCTGGCTCACAGTGGGGACTCAATAACTACACTTAGGTGTTGCTTAACGATGGGAATGCTAGAGGACTTTGTCTGGTGTAGGAACACCAGAGAGTGTGCTCACACAGACCTAGATGGTACAGGCTACCACACATCCAGGATAGAGGGGGTCGCCTGTGGCCCCTAGGCTACAAGCCTGTATAGCAAGTTACTATATTGGTACCTAGGCAGTTGTTATGGTAAGTATTTGTGAATCTAAATATTAAAAAGGTATAATAGAACTGGGCCTGGTGGCTCACACCTGTAATCACAGCACTTTGGAGGTCAAGGTGGGTGAATCACTAGGTCAGGAGTTCGAGACCAGTTTGGCCAACGTAGTAAAACCCTGTCTCTACTAAAAATACAGAAAAAGAAGAAAATGGCTGGATGTGGTGACATGCACCTATAATCCCGGCTGCAGGAGGCTGGGGCAGGAGAATCTCATGAACCCGGGAGGCGGGGTTGCAGTGAGCCAAGATTGTACCATTGCACTCCAGCCCAGGCGACAGTGCGAGACTTTGTCTTAAAAAAAAAACAAAAAAACAAGAAAAGGTATAATTAAAATATGGTAAAAAAGATAAAATTGGGCCAGGTGTGGTGGCTCACACCTGTAATCCCAGCACTTTGGGAGAGACCAAGGCAGGTGAATTCAGTTCAGATCAGGAGTTCAAGACCAGCATGTCCAAAGTGGTGAAACCCTGTCTCTACTAAAAATACAAAAATTAGTGGTGGCGGGCACCTGTAATCCTAGGTACTCAGAAGGCTGAGGTAGGAGAATCGCTTGACCCAGGAGGCGGAGGTTACAGTGAGCCGAGATCACACAACTGCACCCCAGCCTGCGAGACAGAGCAAGACGCCGTCTCAAAAACTAACTAAATAAATTAATTAAATAAAAGATAAAAATAGTCCACCTGTATGGGCACTTACCATGAATGGAGCTTGCAGCACTGGAATTTGCTCTGGTGAGTCAGTGAGTGAGTGGTAAGTGAATGTGAAGGCCTAGGACATTACTGTGCACTACACTTAGGCTACACTAAGTTTATTTTTTACTTTTTTTTTTTGAGATGGAGTCTCGCTCTGTCGCCAGGTTGGAGTGTAGTGGTGCAATCTCAGCTCGCTGTAACCTCTGCCGCCTGGGTACAAGTGATTCTCCTGCCTCAGCCTCTCAAGTAGCTGGGACTACAGACATGCGCCACCATGCCCAGCTAATTTTTTTGTATTTTTAATAAAAATGGGGTTTCACCATGTTGGCCAGGATGGTCTCGAACTCTCGACCTCATGATCTGCCTGCCTCAGCCTCCCAAAGTGCTGGGATTAAGGCATGAGCCACCATGCCTGGCCCACTAAGTTTTTTTTGTTTTTTTTTTGTTTTGTTTTGTTTTGGGGGGGACGGAGTTTCGCCCTTGTTACCAAGGCTGGAGTGCAATGGTGCGATCTCGGATCACCACAACCTCCGCCTCCTGGGTTCAGGCAATTCTCCTGCCCCAGCCTCCTGAGTAGCTGGGATTACAGGCATGCGCCACCATGCCCAGCTAATTTTGTGTATTTTTAGTAGAGACGGGGTTTCACCATGTTGACCAGGATGGTCTCAATCTCTTGACCTGGTGATCCACCCGCCTCGGCCTCCCAAAGTGCTGGGATTACAGGCGTGAGCCACCGCGCCCAGCCCTCTAAGTTTATTTTTAAAAATTTTCTTCTTCAATAAGAAATTAACCTCAGCTTACTATAATTCTTTTATTTTACAATTTTTAAAAAATACTTTGACTTTTTGGCTCTTGTAATAACAGCTCAAAACATAAACACAGTAGGGTGCAGTGGCTCATACTTGTAATCCCAGCACTTTAGGAGGCGGAGGCGAGTGGATGACGAGGTCAGGAGTTTGAGACCAGCCTGGCTAACATGGTGACACCCCATCTCTATTAAAAAAAAAAAAAAAGGATTTTATTTATTTAAATCCTTATTCTTTTTTTTTTTGTTTTTTGTTTTTTTTTGTTTTGTTTTGTTTGAGTCGGAGTTTTGCTCTTGTTACCCAGGCTGGAGTGCAATGGCGCAATCTCGGCTCACCGCAACCTCCGCCTCCTGGGTTCAGGCAATTCTCCTGCCTCAACCTCCTGAGTAGCTGGGATTACAGGCACGCGCCACTATGCCCAGCTAATTTTTTGTATTTTTAGTAGAGACGGGGTTTCACCATGTTGACCAGGATGGTCTCGATCTCTTGACCTCGTGATCCACCCGCCTCGGCCCCCCAAAGTGCTGGGATTACAGGCGTGAGCCACCGCGCCCGGCTTTAAATCCTTATTCTGTAAGCTTTTTTCTGGGTTTAAAACTTTTTATTGGCTGGGCATGGTGGCTCATGCCTGTAGTCCCAGTACTTTGGGAGGCTGAGACAGGAGGATTGCTTGAGCCCAGGAGTTTGAGACCAGCCTGGGAAACATGGCAAAACCCCATCTCTACAAAAAATACAAAAATTAGGCAGGCATGGTGGCACGTGCCTATAGACCCAGCTACTCCGGAGGCTGAAGTAGTAGGATCACCTGACCCCAAGGAGGTCGATAAAAAAAATTTTTAACTTATTTATTTATTTTTTTTAACCTTTCAAACTTTCTTGTTAAAACCTAAGAAAAACACGTTAGCCTAGTCCTACAAATGGTCAGGATTATCGATATCACTGTCTTCCATCTCCACATCTTGTGTCACTGGGAGATCTTTAAGGGCAGTACTACACGGGGAATTGTCATCTATCACAAAGCCTTCTTCTGGAACACCTCCTGGAGGACTGCCTATGACTGTTTTACAGTTAACTCTTTCTTTTTTTTTTTGAGACGCAGTCTCGGTCTGTCGCTCAGGCTGGAGTGCAGTGGCACTTTCTCGGCTCATCGCAATGTCCACCTCCTGAGTTCAAGCAATTCTCCTGTCTCAGCCTCCCAAGTGGCTGGGACTACAGGCGCCAGTTACCACAACCATATAATTTTTGTATTTTTAGTAAAAACAGGGCTTCACCATATTGGCCAGGCTGGTCTCGAACTCCTGACCTCAGGTGATCTGCCCACCTTGGCCTCCCAAAGTGTGGGATTACAGGCGTGAGCCACCACAGCTGGCCAACTTTTTTTTTTTAATAAGTAGAAGGAGTACGCTCTAACAATGAAAAGTATGGTGTGGTAAATACATAAACCAGTAACACACTTGTTTATTAATATTATATACTGTACCTATTTGTATGTGCCATATATATATATATATATATATTTATTTTTTTTTTTTTTTTTTTGAGACAGAGCGAGACTTTGTCTCCCAGGCTGGAGTGCGGTGGCACAATCTCGGCTTACTGCAACCTCCGCCTCCTGGGTTCAAGCAATTTTCCTGCCTCAGCCTCCTGAGTAGCTGGGATTACAGGCACCCGCCATCATGCCTGGCTAATTTTTTTGTATTTTTATAGAGACAGGATTTCACCATGTTGGCCAGGCTGGTCTTGAACTCCTGACTCAGGTGATCGCCCCGCCTTGGCCTCCCAAAGTGCTGGAATTACAGGCATGAGCCACCGTGCCTGGCCTGTGCTATATTTTTATAGGACTGCAGCACAGAAGGTTTGATTACACCAGCATCACCAAAAACACAAAAGTAATGTGCTGTGCTGTCTGTTGTTGGCAGAAATGTCATTATGTACATGTGACTGTATTTGAATGCTTGTTCCCATCATTAGTGATTAATTGGTAAGATTTGCTACTGGTCAGCTGGTAATGACTAGACAAAGCTGGACTTGAACCTGATGTCTAACTCCAAAGGCTGTATTTTGCCTGAGGGCCTCCATGCTCTCCCCTGGCCTGGGACATGGTTTTGTCCATATGATGGGCCCTCTGGGCAGCAGATTCACTCCAGGCAGAGTTGGTAACCTCTTCCTTCCCCAGCACCAAGGCCTCAGTTCCTCATACTTGCCTCCACTCACACTCACCCATCAAAACTTATCAGCCAGTGTGACTCCGAGGGCCCTCCTCCCTGCTAGGTGAGATGAGGGAATGTGACCAATTCCACCCAGCAACCACTAATGTGCCAAGGCTCCGCTCTAAGTGCCATTCAAAAAGTAAAAAGAAACAGGTAAAATTAATTACAATTATATACTTAACCCAATAGTAGGGTGACCCAATGTCCAGGTTTGCCCAGGACTAAGGTATTTCCTGGGATGCACCCCTATCAGCACTTAAACCAGGGAAGTTCCTAACAAACCAGAACAAGTTGATCGCCCTACCCAGAAGATCTAAAATGTTATAATTTCTTTCTTTTTTTTTTTTTTTTTTTTTTTTTT